CATTTTACAAGGGTACATGTTAAATCTACTAAGTGTAGAATATAATGTCTTAACACAATAACTAAGAAAATGCAGTGAAGGCTATGTTAACCAGTTTCATGAAAGTATTTCAAATTGCATATAAACCCAGCACATTGTACCCCATAATTGCATTAATGTACACAACTAAGATTTAATACAAAATAAATAAGTAAATAAAATAAAAATAGCTGAAAAATAAAAATTTGGAGGGCATAGATGAAACAAAATACATGCAGAATCTGTTTGCTGATGACTACAAAATGCTAATAAAAAAATGAAAGAGGGCCTAAATAAATGGAAAAACAGTGTGTGTTCCATGGATAGGAAGACAACATAGTACAATATCACTTTTCCACAACTGTTTTACGGATTTAATATGATTTCCAATCAAAACCCAGCAGAGGGGTGGTGCCCATTGCTCATTGGGTAGGACGCCAACCATAAGCACCAGGGCTGGGGGGTTCAAACCCAGACCGGGCCTGCTAAAACAAAACAAACAAACAAAAAAGCCAGGTATTGTGGCAGGCACCTGTAGTCCTAGCTACTCGGGAGGCTGAGGTAAGAGAATCACTTGAGCCCAAAAGCTGGAAGTTGCTGTCAGCTATGACACTAGAGCACTCTACTGAGGGCAACATTAGTGAGACTCTGTCTCAAGCAAAAAAAAAAAAAAAAGCAGAGGCCACCTGTGTTGCCTCATGCCTCTAATTCAAGCACTTTGGGAGTTTTACTTTCAAAACTCCCAACAAGAAAATAATCCATTAAAAAAGAAACAAAAGACTTTACCACTTAATCAAAAACATATAGGATGGCAAGTAAGAACATGAAAAGATGTTCAACATATTAGGTATTAGAGAAATACAATAAAAAATATGATAAGAATGTGATCCATCACACCCTTATTAAAAGGCTATTTCACCTTAGCACAGTAGTAACTTGTCCGTCTCATAAAATAGCTGTTCATCTTTTTCTATAACAATTGTACATTGCCTCAAATGCAATAGTTGTAAAATAAACTATCTGATGTGGCAAGTCATTATTTTCTTCTTCAAAATTGTTTACCTATTCTTTGCCTTCTCCCTAACCTAGTTCAATCCCAATTGATCTCTAGAGTATTCTAGAGTAAAATCAAACTGCTAGGAAATAATTTTAATTAATTCCAACCATTGATAGCTTTTTGAGCTTAAGGAACTTACTACTTTATATTGTCATTTGGACGAGAGAACAAGTGTTATTCCCATCTTACTAATAAGGAAACAGATTCAAGGATTCCAAATATTATATAAAGAGCCAAATGACTGTGCTGTGAAGAAAGCGAAGAACTAATATAGAAATAGAACTTCTGATCCCCAGTCTAGTGTTCTATTCTCGAGCCAACCTGGATCTCCAGGGCCTTGTTCAGTTTTTACCTATATAAAAACCATTTTCATGTCCTTAGGTAGAAAAACAAAGCAAATTCCTGACTCTTTCCCACAAATGGAACGTCCAAGATATTAAAAAATTTCATTCCAAGCCA